GAGGACACATCCCTGTGGGGTGCCAGTGTTTGTAACAATGCTGGCTGAAGTCCTATTGCCAATCCTGACAGTCTGGGGCCTGCCAGTCAGAAAGTCCAGGAGCCAGTAACAGAGGGTGGGGTGCAGACCCAGTGTGGACAGTTTGTGGCGGACAACTGTGTTGAAGGCAGAGCTGTAGTCAGTGAAGAGTATCCTGATGTAAGAGTCTCCATTTTGCAGGTGAGAAAGGGAATAGTGGAGTGGAGCCATGATGGCGTCTGAGGTGGCCCTGTTGGGCTGGTAGGCATACTGCAGGGGGTCCAGGGGGTCCAGTATACTGCTCTGAATGCAGGCCAGCACCACTCTCTCAAAACACTTCATAATCATTGGGGTGAGTGCCACTGGCCTGTAGTCGTTCAGGCAGGTGACTGGGCTCTTCTTGGGAAGGGGGATGATGGTTGTGGTCTTAAAGCAGGTGGGGATGATGCTCTGGCTGAGGGAGAGGTTGAAGATGGTGGCAAGAACATCAGCCAGCTCGTTGGCACATGCCCTGAGAGCCCTCCCAGGGATGATGTCCGGTCCTGCTGCTTCGCGGGGGTTGATCTTCCTCAGGACTGTGCATACCTGATGGTTATTCTACCATTAGAAAACCAAGAGAGGTGAAGGCCCTGTAAATAAGTGGAGCTAATTTTTCAGTATGGAAAGATGAGCTACAAGCCCACTAACACAGCACGCTGCATGGGCCAGAGCACAAAGACAGACAATAATCTGAAAGTATGAAGGTAAAGCTCTGCTAGCAGCCTGAATGCATTTTCCGTTTGATACCAGCAGTCACACGCAGCGGATCTGTTCCAGGGTCCTTGACGAAGTTTGATATCATTCATTCCTCCATCCACCCTTTTCCCATTCTCCTTCTGATTCCAGTCATCTAGCAAGCAGTACATCCCAATCACCATCTCCCTCCCACAGACATGCAGAGATGGATGGACAGTGTGTGAAGGAGTCCTTGGCTGAACTGTAGAAATGCTGACGTGGCACCGAGCTCTCTAACAGCGTGATGACTCCTCTATCTGTCTCTCCATGATGCACTCTCCCTCTGACACACATATACATTACACACTCCCAGGTGCAGGTTGGTACTTGCAGGAAAACATGCACACTCACATATTAATACATTAGTACACACAGATTTATGAGCTCACGCGTTCAGTAGCACATGAACAGATCGGGCATGTAGAAACACACACTGGCGCACATGCTAAAAGCAAAGCTATCACCGTCTGTCCATCTAGTAACACCTTTATCTCGCCATCCAGTCTCCTATATAATCAGCATCAGTCTCCATTGTCACACACAGTGGCCATCACCACCACAAACACACAAGCTCTCACAAAGATGCACCCACACACAAACACAAACGTGCTCGGGCCAGCTGAATGATGTTCGAGTGTGTATTTCTCTTCTGCCTGTGTTAAAGTGAATCATCTATCCTTTCGAAGCTTCATTACAACCTGCAAGGACAAACACTATCTCTCGTTCGCTCTGCAGCTCCAGATGGAGGGAGAAAGAGACAGATATAAAGAAGCTAGAAATCCCTCTCTGTTTTTGTATGCCCTATCTCACTCTTTCTCTCTGGTTCCCACATCTCTATATTTATCTTCTGCCTCTATATCTATCGCCTTATATCTATGTTTTCAATCACCTTACTTTCTTTCTCTCCCACACTGCCTTGAGCAAGTGCCAGGATGGAAATGGCTTAACGTGATGTAAACTCAGTGAGAGATGCAACGACACAAATGCAACAGAGTAGACTGATGCACAGTCAGATGTGGCCAAAAGTATACAAACACCAATGCCCAAATACTTTGTTTATATACAGTATCCAGCTCCTCAACTGCATCAATGGAGACCATGTATATGTATTTAAATTTTTTTTTTTGGTGTCTTGACAAGTTCCAAATGAGGGAATTTTTAATGCAACAATGTGTGCTGTGGCAACAGATTGTTAAAGGCCTGCCTGTGCACATACTGAAGTCCGTAAATAAATGTTTTTTGTTGTTTCATGTTGAGTAAGAACTTCACTGGCATTCAGAAGAGCCACCAGATAGTAGTGACTGTTATAGCCACACTTGAATGCCTGTATTTTTGGAAGAAGCTCAAAAAGTCACATGTGGATGCAATATTCAAGTGTCCACATATTTTTGGCCATGTAGTCAATATAGAGATGGATAATTGAAAACAGGCAATGCTATTAAAAAGGTCATGTTTCTATAGCGAGAGACAGGAAGAAACAAAGAGACATATGAAAAGCCATGTATGTTTTCCCCAACTGCCACTCACAACTCACACAAAGAGCTAGTAGAAAGAGTCAGCATTTGAGGCCCGACAGACAGCATGAATAATGCATAGCAAAAACCTCTTATTCTCTAAATTTTAAATGGCTAGCTGTTATCAAATATAACCTGATCTGTGAAGCATTAGGAGGCTTGCACACAGCAGAGTGGTTCCTACGGCATACTGCTGGAAAAACAAGGCACTATTGGCCCCCGGTATCAGACTGATATTTCCAACTTTATTTACTGTACAAAACCCCTTTCATTACTTACAAAAAGAATAACATAACAGTTATGCAATTGCCATCTATTAATTTATGCATTTTTTAAATAATAAATGTTTGGACTCATCACCAGATATCGTTAGTGATCAGATGAAGATATAGGTTTTCACAAACCAGACTGGGACCCTCAAAATACAGTAGGCACAAAACTGCCACCTGACTCACTGAAAGGTAAAACCAGGACTCAAGCCTTGGACTCCCTCTACTGGTTCATATGGCAGGCCAAGAGAAAAGGCAGTGGATGTCGTGGACCTGTTGAGATGTCTCCTTGTTGGAGTTGCACACGTCAGTCTCCCTGAGGAAGATTTTAAGATGTTGCACAGCCAACTGGCACAAATGCTCAAACTCTAAATCTGAAGGAGCAACACACATTTAGTGTCTTATAGTCAAAAAACCCCACCAGCTTTTAAATTTTTTACAATCACCACAAAACATGTAAAAAAAAAAAAAAAAAATACAAGTCTCATAACCAAAACAATAATTTACTTAAAAGTGGGGCCTATTTTTAATGGAGCAGAGGAAACATAGGGGACCACAGTTCATCTAGGAGATTAAGAGTTAAAACAATTAGTCATAAGTTTCCTATTGATCCCTCTGCAAGGTCTCTTATCCCAACAATTGCAGACAGGCTCATTACTCTAAAAGACAACCTTATAGACAGTCAGGTCTGATAAAGCAGGATCAATGCTACTGGTCAGTTTTCACCTTAGTATAGATGAAGTAGGACAGACAAAAAGGGCATTCTCATTACATGAAAACTTTCAAACTGTCTTCTATACACCAGGAGTCTGTAACTATCCCACACACTAATCCATTACAGTGAATTAATAGTCCCCAAATTAAGCTGCTAAACAGCCTTGGCAATAGAGCTGCATTTTCTGTGGGGCTGCAATGCTTATTCCACACCATACAACTACAGATGGATGAAATACGATTGCCCTTACCACCTCTACCGCACCATACTGGCCAGTGTATTAGATTAGATTCAGCTGTCCATTGTTTGCTGAGATTTCATAAACATGTAACATGGCCCAACATCAGTTTTAACTGCATGTGATTAATGTCAACAACTGGTTAGAAGACCTAAGTGTCCTCTCTGGAGGATAAAAATGTACAAGCTCAGAGATATATGAAGGTGCTAGACCATGTACAGCCTTATAGACAACAATTTAAAATCAATCCTTAAACAAACAGGAAGCCAATGGAGCGAGGCAAGAACTGGAGTTATATGCTCATGACGCCGTGTATTAGTCAGAAGATGAGCAGCTGCATTTTGGAGCAACTGGAGCTGAAACAATGAAGCTTGAAAAAAATGGCAGTATACAGTGTGTTACAATAATCAAGTCTAGACCTAATAAAAGGCATGAATTGTCTTTTCAAAATCACTAAAAGAAAGTGTTTAACCTTAGCCAGTAGTCTCAACTGAAAAAAAAGCTGGCCTTGACCACAGAGGTCATCTGTTCATCCAGCTTAAGAGCACTATCAAATACCACCCCAAGATTCTTCATTTAAGGCCTTAGATAAGAGGCCAAAGAGCTAAGAATATCAATTAGCGACATCAGAGTTACCAATTAAAACACACCGTCTTACTTTCATTAATATGCAAGAAGTTAAATTACAACCATGCTTTCATGTCCCTCAGGCAGTCCATCAAGGTCATTCAATGGCAAATAAACTTGAATATCATTTGCACAACAGTGAAAAGACAACCCATATTTTATCAAAATCAATCCTAGGGCAAGTAAATACAAAGAAAAGAGGACTGGCCCGTGGATGGATGCTTGAGGAACACCACAGTTCAGAGGAACAGCAAAAGAAGAGAAATTATCAATGTGCACAGAAAAATCAGTCAAATATGATTCAAACCATTTAAGAACACCACCATGAAGTCCTACAGACTGCTGCAGACGGAATGGTCCACTGTGTCAAAAGCAGCCGAACGATCCAAGAGATTCAAAATCGCAGTAGAAGACGAAACCTGCTTTGACTGTGTTTTCTGACCAAGGCTTACATAAAATTAAGCCAGTGTGGATGAGGGGTCTTTAAAATGCTCTGAGAGAAGCATGAAAATGTGAACACCTATTCTATTTATCACAACACATAAATATATGATACAGTGGTTGAGGAGAGATTGTTTTATCATCTATTCTTTTCTGTTGTCTGTCTGCATTCAACATGCATCTCATGCCTTCCTCAGGACTGATGAAATGACAAGAACAAAACACTATTTCTGTAATCCACAGAAATCAATTCAGATAATATCAAAACAAATCAAATAGGGTTTACTGGCATTAACTGTGCTACTTTAAGCTGGTATATAAATAATTTGTTGTGCTATGCATAATGACAATAAAAGATTTGACTGACTATATATTGTACTCTACTCTGGGAGGAGTCCAGACTTACATGCAGGCTGAAACTTTAATGGTTCCTCCCACCACATCTCTGAGTAAACCCTGTGGCTCTGCCTCTCCAATTTGTTACAGTGTGTGGCAGTGCCAAGCTGCTTTAACATGTAGCGTCATGAACACACACCTTCCTCTGTCAACTGTACGGAAATCCCAGCGTTGGGCGGACTGCTCACTGATCCCTCCACTTCCCTTCGTGCTGCTACTCCAGTGTGTCATAGCTGCAACAGGCATGCTACCATCCGAAGCGGGTGTTAACAGCGAACTTTCGTAGGTTTTTTGTTGTTTTTCCTCTCCCATCATGGGGGACTCGGACGTGACCGGGACCTCATTAATTCGCAGAAGGGCGACTTTCGCCGCGGTCGGAGGTGTGGATCTGCGGCCGATGAACGGGAGGTCTACAGCGGCGTGTCAGAGCTCAGTGACCGCTGACTTTAGGATTGAGGGTGGGCCAGAGAAAAAACGCGACCGTTCTCCAGAGAAAGTTTCGTCTAAATCAAAAAGTGAGAAAAAGCAACGCGGGAAGGACATAAGCGACAGACTGAGGTGAGTTACAAACTTAACAGAATGTCCGGTCCTCGACAGGCAGCGTACGCTTAAGGTCTCAAGGCTGCAAAGGGCCGACGGTATAGGTACTTTAAGTTACTTGTTACTGCCCTTTGGCAATAAGGTGAAGCAGGCAGAGAGGACGCTACAGCTGGTCGGTGCCTGCCAAAGCCGTGGGCTAACGTTAGTCCTTCAGAATATTTACAGTATGTCTCTCATTCAACTCCGCCAGGTGATATCGATTAGGGGCGTGTCCAGCGCTAATGAGCCCGCGAGCGGGGTTTAATTGTAGGCGAGCTTTATTTCCTTAGGCCAACCACTGTGCTAGTTATATGATACTAAAATACATGTGTCCAAGGTTAAAGACCTGCGTTCAAACGATTAGCATCGAAATAAAGCCTGAATTAAAGGTTTACACACGGCACATTAAACATTAATATATAGCAGGCATATGTAATTGTATTATAGTTATTGGTGCATTTAAAGTTGCAGATGGTAAAGTTGAAGCTTATGCTAGCTACCTTGTGTAGTTGATCATATGTTTTGAATCTAGTAATAATTAGAATTAGAATTTGCAGTGCAGCTCATGAATGTCCCAAGAGGGATCACTGAACTCCCATTATTATAATACTGTATTTTATTTATTAATCCTATTCTGAAACGTGACTAGTAACTACATTTATTAAATAAATGTAGTGGAGTACAAAGTACAATATTTGCCATCAGTGTCGCGAAGTCAAAGTATGAAGCGGAAAATGGAAATACTCAAGTAAAGTACAAATAACTCTGATGTATGTATGTGCAGTACTTCAGTAAATGCACTTACACCATTGCTAAAATATAGACCTACCCTATGGACTAATGTTCATACATGAGCGCTACTTGTTATATATTGTGCATTAAAATGAGT